ATTTGTTTACATCTTTACAAATGACATGTATTCGAATTTTGAGTTAAACTCTCTACACTTGCAATTGAAAGATACTTGACTAATTTGGACACAAAATTTTTTAAATGTCAACGTTTGACTTTTTTTTTTGGCATCGACATATATACGTATAAATTTTTAGATTATATATGAAATCCTGTTCATAAGTCTAGCAATTTTAGCAAATTATAGGAATATCAAATATCACTTGCGCAAGGAAACTTGGCCCTTTTTTCAAGGTGTAATAATGTCATTGGCCTGACAATAACATACCAATATATATATATATATATATATATATATATATATATATATATAAGAAAAAAAGCACGATTTATTTTATGTAAACAGTTAAATACAAAATCTAATTACACTGGGATTAGTCTAACATGTTTAAACAACAAACTCTCGTAGCTTTCCAGTGATGAGAGCTCAGTCAATTCAGTACAAAATCGCATATATTTCCCCACAAGACGTCCAAAAACTTGTATTCTACGACTTTCTTAAGCTTCGTAAAACTCCCATGAAGCAACTTTTCTCGCGGTAGTGAAAACTAATTCGACCGGAATTGTTAAACCGGTCAGTGACGAAATACAGTTACTGCATCACATGATTTTGAATCATACGGTACTGTTTTCCTCAATCGAAATTTCCATTGGAACCTTCAGATTTAACCGATCAATATCCCATCCAGACTGCTCTAGCTGTACCCAAAATTCATCAAATTTATCATCTAATTCAACCAAGCTTTGTTCGAGTAACGTGATGGCATTATTATCTGATCTGGTCCAGTTTTCATGGAGCCAATAGGATTGCCACACGCTTCGTAAAACCGACAAACTAGTAGCTCCTTCCTGTGGGAATTTTTTTCATTTTAATGAACTTTTTTTAATATCCATTGATGCCTTTTGCTAATCTTAATATTTTGTACCTTAAACGACACGAGAATCTTGAGTTCTGTTTGCAGTTGGTTCACAACAAGAAGATATTCTTCCTCCCTATACAATTCGAGAAGTATCCTCACCTGTTGGACATGTAAAGCATTACTCTATAAGAAAACCTTTGATTCTATTACATTAAGGCTTTTGTTTAGCAAGCATATAAGCTAGCTTATAGCTTATTTGATTAGTTTATAAGCTTCATGTATTCAAATAAACTTTGTTTGGTAGGACTGAGTTTTTTTACAAAACTCGAGCTTATCTCATAAGATAGCCTTGGGTAGCTTTTCAAATAAGCCCATTGAAATTTTTATTTCAGTTAGCTTATCAGTTAATTTTACCAAACACATTTACCATATAAGCTAGCTTGTCAGCCATCAATCATAAGCTATCAGCTACAAGCTCAAAATTCATTTAAAAGTTATAAGCTAGCTTATGAGCTAGGTTTACCAAACATAACCTAAGGTAAATTGATTCATATGGTAATATACACATATCCAAGTCGTACCATAGATCCACGCTTATTGCCAACAATCATCTCTTCCAATGGCACACCAAATACAATTCTTGGTTTAAGAAATCTTTCCCATACCAATAAATTTTCCATCCTGTTGCATTCATTGATTCCTAATCGAACCAAAATTTCTTCATACCTTAGAATGTAACTTGGAAAGTTAGACGTTATATTGCATACAAGTACCTGGAACATTTTGGTATATAATATGCGAGTTCACCAATATACGAGCACGCTTGAGGTTTATCTGTCAGAAATTGAACAATTAAGACTGATGAGAAAATTATTCCTTTTAATTGTTTTGTTGTTTTATCTTTAAAGTCTATCACAATGGTTCTAAGTCGGTCCCAAATAAATAAAAGAACGAAAAAAAAAAATGATTTTTTTCTCACCGTATTAAAGCGGAGAACTGAAAGGGACAGATAACGGAACCAGAGGTGAAGAAGCCGCAAACCGAGCCATGTCCAAGCCAACATGGGATATGAAGACGAAATACTAGGTGTATCCTGAATATTTTGTTATGATTAAGATTAAGCTACCAGAAAAGTAACTGTAATTAATGGACTTTAAATCCCAGCTAAAAATGGAACTAATAACAGTTTTTTCACTTTGACATACCAGAGCAATTATGCCTAAAGCAAGGCCAACCAGCTCAGCAACTACTTCCCAGACTTCCTCCTGACGAATTTTATCAAAAAAAAAAAAATCAGCGAGATTCCATTAAGGCAAATAAGATTTTCCCAAACAGATTTCGTGACCATAATTGATACTATATTATTCAAACACAGGAAATCGTAATCATCATGTTCAGCTGAACTACAATGATTAATTGGTAAAATGCTGAATAATAAATGTAATTCGAAGAAAGATATTCGGCCAAATTTTAATGTTATAGAAACATTAACCCCAGGAGGAGCTAATAAACAATCTCGTCACCATTTCTCACAACAAAATGCAATCAAAATCCAGCCACGCACACTCAAAATTATAAATAAACAAAGAGTAGACTCTACAATTAGAGACACTAGTGAAAGTCCTTATATATATATAATATATGTGTGAACTGGTCTACCTTGGCCGATACCTCTCCCAAATTCCCAGATATTGCAAAATGGTTTTGTATCACGCGAAATGAAGGATCTCTTAAACCTCTGCCCACTGCCTGCAGAATTCATAAGCACTCTGGATAATAAAAAACGTATTATTAAAAAAAAAAAAAAAAA